GGCTGTTTTCCCTTAACTTCAATCAAAAAAAAAAAAAAGCAAAAAACAAGAAAAGAAAACCTCCTATCATGAAGTAACTTGCAGGAAGGTACACAGGAAACTGAGGATGTGAGGAGAAATGGTGTGCCTGGCCACAAGAGCAAGAGGATGCTGGTCTTGCAGGAAAAGCGGCAACAAGCTAGACACAGAGCATCTCACTTGAGAGAGGAGATGCTTTGCACAGTCAGAGCCAGTAGCTGCTCCGGAAGAGAAGCCTTCCATGAAATCAACAAAGAAAAACCGAATAGCCTGAGATCATATCAACCAAGATGAGTAGTTAGTAGTTAGCCCTTGGAAGCAAGAGGAGGCCTGAGACAAAATCAAGGCAGATGGGAGTCCAGACCCAGCCAGAGCAACTCACCTTAGCTCAGTGTTACCCCTGGTTCCTCGGGAACTTGGCACTGGAAGATGATACGAAGAGCGAAGTTGATCTTAGCACCAGCTACACTTCATCATTGTGGTTTGTTGTGTATTCCTTCAGATAATTCTAGAAAAAAAAACCTATATATTCCTCTGAGAGCAAAGTGCCTATCTCAATTTTATGAAGTCCTGAGTTAAACTCAGTCGAAAATGTGGATAGATCAATTAACGAAGAAAGCAACTGAACATTCAAAGACTTGTTGAATGGCACCTAGACTAGAAGGTTTTTTGTTCAGTGAGCTCCTGTCAGAACTGTTAAGACACATTTTGTGTTTTCACTTTACTTCCCAAGGCCTCAAAAGACCTACACATAATCTTAAGGCTTCCATTTGAGAATCATTGCCATGGCCTAATGCTATGTGGATGAAGATTAGTTTGGCTTGAGTCCATATCACCTGTTGGAAAATGAGAATTAGCAATTTAAACAAAGATGATCAGGAGGCAGGGTAGCAACATAAAAGAAAAATGATGTCAGGATATCTCTCTATCAGAGTGGCCTGGAAAGCAGGGTACAAAAAGATGTGATGATTAGGCAGACCAGACTCTCTAAGGATCCTGATAATACTGAAGGTCTAGGTTCAGAGTTGGGCCAGGGTAGGATCCAGCAGCCAGTGTATCCTAGCAACCCAGTTAGAGGGAGCTTTGGTGTCACAATCATCTGTGGATGATACACATAAGACAGAAGGAGATGGATGGAACCCTTCATGAGGGATGCTGTCAACCAAGTCTTGACCAGGGAGAAGTCTTGTAAAGCAAGCAATTTGGTAAATACAGTCTCTCTCTCTCTCTCTCTCTCTCTCTCTCTCTCTCTCTCTCTCTCTCTCTCTCTCTCTCTCTCTCTCTCTCTCTCTCTCTCTCTCTCTCCTCTCTCTCAACTATGCACCAACTGGAAAGCAGCTCCGGAGCTAGAGAGATGATGACTCAGCAGTTAAGAAAGCTGGCTATCTTGCTGAGGACCTGGGTTTGGTTCCCATCACCTGCTCAGTGGTTTAGAACCAACTATTTATAACACTAGTTCCAGGGAATCCAAAACCCTCTCTGAGTTCTGTGGACTCCTGCATGCATATCATGCACATGGTGTGCATATACTCACCTAGGCTCACACACATACACATAAATAAAAATAAATAAACCTGTAAAGATGCTTTTTAAAGAAAAGCAGCTCCTAGGGTCTCCTTTGAGTTCTAGCCGTGATCTAAATCTTCCTAATTGTATCATCTTGTTAACTTCTGGTTGGTCATCTCTTGTTTACACTCAATTCTTGTTACTGCCCAATTCTCCATACTCAGATTTAAAAAAAAAAAAGTACTCCTTTACCTGAAGAGAACATCCCTGCCCAGCTGCATGCATTCGGCTCAGGAGTCATTCATTATCTGTGGCCTGACTAACCCAAGTCAACCACATCATAGAGCAACAGAACTGGGCAATGTCGAGAGAATCTGGGTCCTGACGATCCAAGTGGGATATATCTCTTTCAAGGCTTCCCAAAAGTGCCAGTTCTGAACTCTTCAATTCCAGGAGTCAAAACACAGAGAGAGACCAAGACAGAAACATGCGTGTGTGTTATTTCATAAGCAACTCTGAGATCTCCATTACTCTTTCTTGGAAGTGTGTTTTCATCAGCAGAATGAGGATAGCATTTGCTGCTTCCGTGGAGTCTATTTTGGAAAGTACAGAGCACATACAGATTTAAAATATTATCTCTTTTTACTTCCTCTTTTCTGTTCCTGTCACAGTGCCTTGCATACTAATACTTTTAAAGCAGAAAGTATAATATTATATCTCAAAAGAACATTTTCATTACCTAATACTCCTGTTCTGACCCCATCTGCTTTACAGAATTTTTCATATAAGAGAATTCTTTGAAACCAGATCAGCAAAATTCTGTTTCAATGAACAATTTGTTCCCCGAGCCACAAAAATAGCTTCTGCAAGTAAACCCTGCGTTAAAAATGGTATTTGTGAAAACATTGTTTTACCTGTGATATACGGAAATGTGCTTGGAAATGAAATTGCCTCGTGAGTTTGTTCCTGATGGTTTTTGAATTTTTATTACTGTTAATTAGCATCTTAGTTCATCCTGCCTCCTTATCTCGGGACTTGTTGCTCAGAGGAAGGCCCAGCCATGCAGCATAATGAAAGTCCTTTGATCTTCATTCAAACAGCAGATTTGCTTTTCAATAAGCCACAGCTCATTATATTTCTAGAGTCTCTCCTCCCTCTACTTGTGCTTTCTCCCTCCTCTTCACGACTTCGTAATCCAGCTTTGAAATGTGATTCTTAGATTTAATCTAACTATGGTATTTATTCCTGCCAGCCATTATCCATGCCTCGACAGAAATTCACATATTGCTTCTGGACCCTGGGAGGCTGGGAGGAGGCCATGGCTGGTGACACAGGCCTATAATCCCAGCCACATGGGCAGCTGAGTCAGGACAGTGGCAACTTCAACCTGCCTTGGCTGTAGAGTGAGTTCAGTGCCAGCGTGGGCAATTTAGTGAGACTTCATCATTAAAAAAGGTTACAAAGGGGTTGGACTATACCTCAGCAGTCAAGCCCTAGGTTCCACACCCAGTACTGCAGGGCAGGGAGAAGGAAGAGGGAGAAATGAGAGCAAGAGCGAATGGAGAAAGTTGGAGATACATGTTTTGATTGCATTCTAACAAAAAGAAAACAAAAATGTGGAAAGCTGGCCATGCCTGTCACCCCAGGCAGCAGTAGAGGCTAAGACAGGACCATGAGTTCAAGATCAATCTGGGCTTTGTAATAAGACCCTGTACCAAATAAAATAAAGTAGGGATGTGGAAGAAGGGCTGAGCCTGGTGGTGTACACCTGCATCCCAGTATCTGAGCAACTACTGACAGACGGATCAGAAGTTCAGGGTCATCCTTGGCTACATACAAAGTTTGAAGCTAGCCCAGCCTACATGAGGCCTCAAGTGAGACACACACAGACAGAGAGAGAGAGAGAGAGAGAGAGAGAGAGAGAGAGAGAGAGAGAGAGAGA